TATATATATATATATATATATATATATATATATATATATATACATATATATATATATGGAGATATAGATGATATAGATATATCTGTCTACCTGCCTCCTGCTTATGGATCAGATGTAAGCTTTCAAGTTCTGCTCTAGTGCCATTCCTGACTGCATGCTTTTATGGTTCCCACTATGATGGTTCTAGACTCACACTCTAAAATTGAAGCCAGAATAAATTCTTTCTTCTATAAGTTTCCTTGGTCATGGTGTCTCTTCACAGCCATTGAAAAGTAACACTTCAAGCCTGAAGATAGGAGTTCAGATCCCTGGAACCCATATAAAAGCCATGGGTTTCATCATGCATCTGAAACTCCAGTGCTAATGGGATGAGACAGGTGAATCCTAGGGATTTGCTGGTCAGCCATTGTAGCCCAAATGGTGAGTTCCAAATTCAGCAAGAGGTGCTATTTCAAAAATTAAGGTAAAGGGAGAGAGTGAGATGCAGACATCTGACACCGACCTCTGATTTTCCAGATGCAATGAAACCTGTGCACCTCCCCTCAACCATAAACACACAAACACACATACACCACACACACACACACACACACACACACACACACACACACACACATACACACACACACACAATTATATATGTCATGCAACTAACCTATTGAACAGCACTACTTAGCCACTCAATATCCTGTAGTGTCCATTGTTTGCTGGGTGTAGACAAATTTCTAAACAGTCTTATTAAATAAGAAACACAGAGCCAAATACAGAGTTAAAGCCAAAGAGAGCAAGAGCCACCTAACTTTACCTTACCACCAGCAGTCGCTTCCCCCTAGAGAGACCTTCTAATGTCTGACTTGTGTTTTTATTGTTTTCCTGTTCTGCTTTCTCATTGGCTCTAAACCCAGCCACATGACTTCCTCATCACTGCCTGTCTATACAGACCTCCTGGTCTCTTTGGTTGGTACTGGGATTAAAGATTCCTGTTACCATGCTTGACTGTGTCCTTGACCACACAGAGACTCTGCCTGCCATGTGATCAGATTAAGGGTGTAGACTACCACCGCCTGACTGCTGTCCCTGGTTCGCTATGACCTCTAATCTCCAGGCAAACTTTATTTATTAACATACAAATAAAATCACATTTCAGCACAATTAAAATATCGCCACAGCTGGGTCATCAGGTGGCCAGTGCTGTGTCTAAATACTGCCACCACCTAATATCATAAGAGAGTATCATGCCACAACTTACCCAGAAAATATCATTATTCAAAATCTGAAATACAGTTTGTACAACATACATATACCATCACACTCTCACAAAGTCAAGATATCCTAAGTCAAATCATCTTAAATTAGAAAACAAAGGTTTTATTCTCTACTCTTCTCCAGTATTTACACATATTTTAATTAACCAATTTTATATTTTAATTTACACACAATATTTGTACACATTTGTAAAGAACAATGTGATGTTTTACTTAATGTATATATTAAGCAATAATCAACTCAGAGAAATTAGCAATTCCAACACACTAGGCATTAATCACATTTTTCTTTTTCTTTTTGAGATTCTTTCCTCTCTTCCCTCCAAATACTCCCATATCTTTGCATGCTCTTCTTCAAATTCATAGCCTATTTTTCATTAATGTTATTCGTGTGTGTGTATATATATATATGTATATATACATACATACATACATACATACATATTTATATGTATAGATTCCCAGTTATAACCTGCCCAGTCTGTAAAATGTGTTTGTATGTTTTCAGGGCTGACAGTTTGGCATTGAACAACCAATTGATGTGCTCTGCCCTGGAAAAGACCACCTCTCCCACTCCCAGATTTCCTCAGTTGCCTACAGTCCTTTATGTAGGGTTGAGGCTTCATTGGTTTTTACCTATCCACTGTGGTATATTCATTGGTGTCATTAGGGGAAATTTTCAAAATAGTTGAAGACATTTTACTATGAAAAACAAAGCCTGGAGTTTTTGTGGCACTGCTCAAGACAAAGGCTGAGGCCACAGGCAGTAGGACCAATAGACAAATCATCTCATTTGTACTCAGGATAGGTCACAAATAGACAAGGCTGGTGTTAGAAACTATATGAAAATTTCCAAATCTGGGACTAGACAGATAGCTCAGTGATGGCTTCTGCTCTTTCACAGGACCCATGTTTAGCTCCAAGCACCCATGTGGGACCTAACAACTATCTCTAATTCTATGTGCAGGAGTTGATGCCCTCTTCAGGCCTCCACAGACACTAAGCAGCCTGGCAGGCAAAACAATCACACACATAAAATAAACATTTTATTAATTTAAAAATTCAAAGTCCCTTCCGATCAGATATGGTATAAAATGAGACCACCCTATGGAAGGGTGGAGTATAAGAGATTTTAAAAAATAGGCTGGGCGGTGGTGGCACACGCCCTTAATCCCAGCACTAGGGACGCAGAGCCAGGCGGATCTCTGTGAGTTCGAGGCCAGCCTGGGCTACCAAGTGAGTTCCAGGAAAGGCGCAAAGCTACATAGAGAAACCCTGTTTCGGAAAAAAAAAAAAATAGGGGGAGGGGAGTATCTAGTGAGCAAGTGAAAGGTACATTTGCCAAAAATAAAAGAGTTAAGATGCTTAGGATAAAGTACTCCACACCAAGAACCACACATTTCAGACCACTGTCTGTGTTTTGCCCAAACTCTGCCTTCATGGCACAAAATCCAGGCAGGGCTCTCCCACACTGAGTTAGACAGGAAAGAGCTCAGTGTCCTTTACAAATCCTGCAGATATTTTTTCTACATGTCCTGAAAACTTGTCCATAGCAATTTTTCCTTTAAAGTAGCAGTAAAGAAAGAGATTCCTAAGTGAATGCTTTTCATGCTGCCTATGATGTTTGTAAAATCAGAGTCAAAAGTTATTTAGGGTTTAAATGTTTAATTTATTTCCAATACAAAAACTATTTCCTATTTTCCTATTACTTATTAACAGTTCTAAAGGCACTGAGTACCTCTTACAACCTCCTCAGCAAGTTCTGGATTCCCTGCTTGATCTCTTTGGTTCTTACTCCATAAACAATGGGGTTCAGAGCTGGGGGGATGAGATGATGCAGGATGTTGAGAAGGATGGGAACATCCGGGGGAATCCTCTCCCTGGCCAGGTTTGTGATAACCAGCACCAGCAAGACTGTGCTGAAGAAGAGGATGAGGATAAAGTGGGAACCACATGTGCTCAGGGCTTTGGCTACAGCTCCCTCAGCTTTGATCCTGAGCACAACATTGAAGATAAAAGAGTAAGAGAGAACAATGAGGATGAGGTCAGAGCCCAGCAGGGTCCAACCTGCTACAAGCTGGTATAGTTTATTGAAGGTGATGTCATCACAAGAGAGTTTGGATACAGACAAGTTGGTGCAGATGCAGTTCTTGACAATGTTCTGAGCACAGTACTTTAGTCTGGCAGAAAGGATAGGGACAGGAAGAGAAAAAAATGTATTCCTGCTTATAATAAAGATGGCAGCTCTAGCCACAAACTGGTCTGTGATGATAGATGGGTACTGCAGAGGCTTGCAGATGGCCACATAGCGATCATAGGCCATGACCATGAAGGTGCAGGACTCCATCGTCAGGAAACTGTTCATGATGAACATCTGGAGGAAGCAGGCAGAGAAGCTGATGGATTTGTTGTCAAACCAGAAGATGGCTAGGACCTTAGGTATGACAGTGAGGCAGAGCACAATGTCCAGAAGGGAGAGAAGGCTGAGCAGGTAGTACATGGGCTCATGAAGAGAGGCCTCCATCCTGATGGTGATGAGAAGGGTGGCATTGGCCCCCATGGCCAGGAGGAAGAGGAGGCTGAGGGGCAAGGACAGCCAATGCTGCCAAGTCTGGTAGTTAGGGAAGCAGATGAGGAAGAATTCAGAGACTGGAGCTTCAGAGTTGTTGCTGGATAATGCCATGGAAGAACTGCCAATCAAGCCAGAAATCCAGAGGTTTGTATACTGAAGGAAGTGAATGGACATAGAAAAGATATGTTCTAGAGAGAGTAGGACTCAATTTTCCATCATGCTTGACCCTATCCAGTCAAGTTTTGAAATCACTATCATTATCACCATTACTTACACACACACACACACACACACACACACACACACACACACACATACACACACACACACACAGAGAGAGAGAGAGAGAGAGAGAGAGAGAGAGAGAGAGAGAATGAGAATTTGAGAGAGAAGGAAGGTATATGGGAGGCATTGGAGGCAGAAAGAAGAAAGGGAAAGGATACAATTATATTATAATTTCAAATAATATTATAAAATATGTTTTAAGAGCCGGGCAGTGGTGGCGCACGCCTTTAATCCCAGCACTCGGGAGGCAGAGCCAGGTGGATCGCTGTGAGTTCGAGGCCAGCCTGGGCTACCAAGTGAGCTCCAGGAAAGGCGCAAAACTACGCAGAGAAACCCTGTCTCGAAAAACAAACAAAAAATAAATAAATAAATAAATAAATAAATAAATAAATAAATAAATAAATAAAATAAAATATGTTTTAAAAAGAAATGGTTTTTCCTTTGAGATAGGAGGAAATTGGTGTGTTCATAGAAATTTTCAGAGATCAGTAGACAATGTCTTTCTGTTTTGATTTGTCTGAAGAGTGATTTCCCAGATGGCTTGTTCTTCAGAAAACAGCACTGTTTCTTTGACTCCAGACAAGGCTGGGTATGTTGCTGGTCATAGGGCAGACAATATTCTTTTTTTTTTTTCTTGCTTTATTTTTTTTAAGTTTGGGTTTCTCTGTGTAGCCCTGGCCATCCTGGAACTCACTCTGTAAACCAGGCTGGCTTCAAACTTAGAGACCTGCTGTCTCTGCCTTCTGAGTGCTGGGACTCAGATTGTGCAACATCATGCCCAGCTCAGACAATGTCCTTGAATAACATCCTTGAAATGGCTGTTCTCTTTCAACAATCTCTTCTTCATTCTACCCTTCAAAACACATTTTATCTTAAATCTTTCAGGAACGTATTCTCTGTATCTAGTTATGGGTCTCTTAACGATGTTTCATTCAAGCAGATAAATGTGTTTCTTTGAGCATATCCATCCTGACACACTCTCTTTTCTTCCCACTTCTCACTCCCACAGTAAAGCTTTCCTAGTAGGGACACAAATTCTCCAGTATCTTAGAGACTGTAACCTCTTGAGGATTAGAACTAAGTATAAGAAAAGTAACCAAAACTTGAGTTGACATCTGCCAAAGAAACAGTGGAAGCTCTTTAGTAAGTGTTAGGCAAATGGCTGCATAAGAAGCCATTTTCCTGGTAAGCCAAATTGCCAATACTTCGTTACACACAGGATCCAATCATTCCAGAAAGTAGGATTCACATTTAAAATCTCACCTATTGGGATTCTAGTTGTTTCTTTTACAGATAAGACTCTGGAACTAGGCTGTGCATCAGCTCCTGTGTCAGTGTGTACTGTTTCTGTGCCCATGTTAAGGGGACCAGAATCAGAATTCAGCACCTTGCAAGTGTATCTGATTCTTCGGCCACACACTGTTTTTTGAACTGTGTCCAATTTATTGAAGATTATACATACACGGGATGAGGGAATGGATTTTATATTACCTATCCTTCAGTGAAATATATAGACAATCTTAAAAGCCTGTCAGATCTCAGAAGTACCTTCTAGGCAGCATGGCCAGCAATGGTTGCAGTCTTTTGCCTTATATCTTCTCATATCAGTGGTGCTCCCTGATATTAGGGACATTAAGATGTTTTCTCTCACCTGCAAAATCCACAGCATCTGCCTCAGTATCGGCAAACTCATCATAAGTATAACGCAGATCTAAATGTCCTTAGGTAAAATAAACTTTTGTGCTTGCAAGGAAAGCCCAACTGTCATGTTGATTTCTAGAACTCAGATTTGCTGCCATATTCAAAAAAGCATCATTTAAAAGGAAAACTTGTAACCTGGGGCAGTCCTGAGTGGGGATTTTTTATTTCAGTGAAAAGGGCAAAATCTTCATACTCTTAATGTGTAAAGTTCACATATAGCCTTTAACTAATACCCTGCACAGGGGATAAGTAGAATTGCCTAAGACTGGGACCTCAGATCCCAGCACAGTTAAGATTAGCAATATAGGGGCTGAAGAGATGGCTCAGCGATTAAGAGCACTGTCTGTTCTTTCAGAGGACCTGGGTTCAATTCCCAGCACCCACATGGCAGCTCACAACTGTCTGTAGCTCTAGTTCCAGGGGATCTGACACTCTCATACCAATGCAAATAAAATAAAGTAAATTATTTTTTAAAAAGATTAGCAATATGCAGGGCGTGCAAGTAAAAGAAGACTCTTTTTCTAATTTCTTTCTTTTTTTTTTTATTTCCTCCTGGTTTCTACTGTTTAAATATGATGGGTTAAATTTTCAGAACCTATTTCTTACTTCCTCAAATATAAGAAAATTGGGGTTTTTTTAAGTTAAATGTGCAATGCCTGGTAGATAAGAGATACCCCTGTAAATACTAAGTAATAATGATTAGACAAAGGCTATGAGTTTAAGCATTTGTAATAAAAATAATAATAACCAAAAAGATAAGCCATTTCCAGATTTCATTTAATTACAATAATGAGTGTAAGAAATGAAATCTGATTGCTTAGTTTCAAAGGGGCTTCAATCTAGTGTAGGTCTAGCTGCAAACGAGCAGCAAACATTAGACACTAGCTAACCAGCTAAACTATCGAGCTTAGACCTCCTAGTCAAGCTCTTCCCCCACCCAAACTCTGTTGGTCTTGTTACAGCCCCCACACTAAAAAAGAAGGTTTAGAGTAAAATATTATCGACAACCTACAGATATGATGAGGGTGTGTGCCTGATGGACTTTAAAATAAATAGGAGTGAAATATAGAGCTGAAACTGCCTGTGCTTTTTATTATGACAAAGGAAAACATATGACCTATGTGGAGTATAAAATTGTAGCTTCTTGATTGTTCATTAATGAGGAAAGGGTGGCAGGATCATGTGTCCAGGGTTATATTGTTCTCCCACTCCTGCCCTCTGAGGCTAATACACAACTTGGCAAATTTGTAAAATAAATTGCTTTACCTTTGCTGCTCTTAGTCTGCAGTGATCTCATTATGAAGTGATGATCTTTGTTTCTCACAACAGCTATTTCTGATATTTATTACAATGTAGTTAGAACATAAATTCAATTTACTTACTCTCTTATCATAAAAAAATGTTTCTGTGATTTGCTGTCATTGAAAATTTGGACTTTGATAGGTGTTTTTTTTTTTTTTGGTTGGTTGGTTGGTTTTTGGTGGACCACCATTTTTGTTTCCCTATGAGTAAATAAAAAACCGATTGGCCAAGCTCTAAGAAGGGTCATGGCGACGACAGTGGTCAAAGAAGGAGCCAGATGCCTGTGGCAAGATAAACGTCACAGAGCCATGCAGTCAGTGCGACTGGAGTCACTGGTCCTGCAAGCGTGCCCCATTAGACTCACGGAGTCAGTGGGTTGTGGTGTATGTGAGAAGACACCAGACTGGCTGCCAGGGAAGACGATGGAAACAATTGCTTGATTTAAGGACTTTCGTTTTGAGTATCCCAGGCTTTCAAAATGCAGATGATATTAAACAACTTAGGAAAGAAAGGTAAATCTATGCATTGTAGGACTTTATGACAAATCAAAGATTGAGGGATTAAAAGTGAGAAGGAACTATACAGTAGACTTCCTTTCTGACCTGTATTTGCATATTCAAGCATTAAAATGACTGTCAGTGTTAATCTAAGAGATAAGATGGGTGGGAAACATTGTCCATTTCACTGACCTCAAGTATGATTGCTCAGAGCAACTTGATTAGTTTGAGTAAGTAAAAAAAAAAAAGAGCTTTCTAGATCCCCAATCTAAACAGTAAGCATCCTAGGATACAGAAAAGGCTGCTATCTTCAGGGAGATTACTTAATGAAGAAATTGGACCTGCACGTATTCATATTGCAGTAGAGATGTGGGTGCTATGATAATGACTATTAAACCATGGGAGAGAAAGAGTATTGAATGAGCCAGTATGATACAGTTTAAAAACTGGTTTCAAACAGATAAGCATTCCAATTCTGACTCACACACAATATGTATTCCCAGAGGACAAAATCATGATGTTCAGCTGTCTTGATTGTGAAAAAGAGGAAAAATACTTAACCATAAGAAGGGAAAGGTGCTGTGATTTACTGAGGTCTTACTCGATTGGGAGAGGTAAGTTAGGACCATCAGAATAGAATACAGGAAGAAGGAAACTGAGGACTGTGCTTTTAGGAATGGCAAGAGCAGAAACACCTTCCTAGGTAGATGCTGAGTAATGATAACAGATGAGGCATTGGGACCTGGTAGTGCTAAATTCTGTGGGGGAAATGAATGAGTAGGCTCTCATGATAAGCTATAGGTGTTACTTCAGTTCTCTCAGAATCCTATACACTGGATGGTATATAAACCACAAATGGTAGCTACTAACTGCGAAATGAGTATGGACACAAGTAAGTGTAAGATTAAGAGGCCAGAAAACTCAGCATCTGAAATGGGTGAGGTTCCATTCCCTGTAGCATAGATGACACCTCTCTGTGTGTCCTCACATAGTAGGGCATGGTAAGAAAATAAATGTTGGGTCCACCAGCCACAGAAAACTCAGCTTTCTTAAGGAAATCACTGTCAGGTCAGTATGCCTTGTGCTAGCATCTAAGTGCCTTGCCAGGGTCAGCACCTACATTCTAAGCCCTAGTGTAAGAATTCTCCCTCCTTTTCATACCAACCTCTTAGACTGCCACTCACTCCTCAGTGTCTCCTTCCTGTTGATTCCCTGCCACGCCAAGACGCACCGACTTCAGAGGAAGCACTGCCACTGCTCCCAGCTATTGGCTGCAACATAGTAGTAGAGGCTCCTCTGTGTATCTTTTCTCCCTGCTGGCCATGGAGTTAGGGCTCTTATTATCTAACA